CCCCAAAACCCCAAAACCCCGTGATATAAAAGAATTAAGGTTCTTAAGATAATCAAATTATTAGTAATATGCTAGATAAATTTTGCAACTCTACAAAACCTTTAAACTATTAAGTAGTTTGTTTAGTCATACTTCCCAATAAAAATATTCATAAGTCAAAAGCTTCATTACGATCTTTATCATTGATAGAATATAATATAAAACATTTTTGGCACAAATTGAAACTTCTTTGTGAATCGTGATACAAAATCTCATTGGGATCTTTATGAGCCATAGATCCTTAATTACATCCAAAATACCTAATAGCATTGCATTTCCAACCTCCTATATAAGCTTTGTTTATTTTGCAAGCTGCCTGATATGTTAAACTCTAAAGATCATGGTGATGGACATTACCGTACTTTTAAAAGCAAGCCTCACAAAAGTCAAATTTGCATTAGCTACAATGATAGATAACTTCATTAAGCAATTATCGAAATGGTCCTTATAGAGTTTAGCCACTTTAACAACCTATGAAGTTATTACCATTGCACAACCAGCCAAACAAATACTTTGCATGGTTAGGGAGTCTTCTCATTTGATTTAATGTCAACTTTTCTAAGGGATATTTATGCATAGTAGTCAAGTATTAGCGTTCATTCTAGTAACCACTCTTATTTTATATACTTAGATGTTTATTTCCTTAGCTTTATGATTGAATTTTAAAATCTTCAAACTACTTCTCCTATAGTTCATATTTTTCTTAGGAAAGTCTCAACTAATACTTTAGGTAGTCGGTGCATTTATGAGGATCCTCTTCTTAATTCTAAACTAATGTCTAGTATCCACATTCACCGCATATTTACTTGATTTTTCTGCAGGATTCAAGGTGCTTTTTTCTATTTTTTCTTAAGTATTCATAACCACATTTGAGAGGACAGGACACTGTTATTTAATCACATTGAAACTGGTAATGCCTGATTAGGTCAATATATTTTATCGATTTGTTGTATTATTCGCATTCTTCATATATACAGCCTTGGAAAATTGATTACTCAATAAATTCTCTGACAAATCTATGAGGCTACTTAGTTACTAGTTTTACTTAACATAATGGGCATTTGTCACTCTTGGCACTATCAATCCAGGACTTTGCATAATCTGCGCATAAGCATTTCTGGCAATTACTGCACTCAACCGAGTTAAATAATATCTGCAAACAAATGGGACAATCTAGTTGATCTTTTGCTCGTTTATCATCTTGGTTAATAATTGATGTTCCTATTAGTGTTTTAAGTGTTTAATCATCTGCTTCAGACTTTGTTGAAATTATATTGACTTATTCAGGATCAAACTATAAGAAAATTGAAGATTCTACCATTGTTAAATCAAAAATATTTAATTATTTATCTGAGATTGCCTCAATTAATAAATTTATTGAAATTCGGGGTTTTGGGGTTTTGGGG